GATCAATTCATTCATGGGGACGGGGACGGGGCGGCGAAGGCAGCTGCGCTAATTGGGTCATCGCTGCTTCTTCTCTATTGTTCACTTAGCGGCGCGTGAAAGAGGATGGGTGGCTGGCAAATAGGAGGTTGAGACGGGAGGCGACCAAATACCATAATGACATGCATGACGAGGAAGGGAAGAAAGAGGTCGTGGCCCCAGAGTTCCACTACCGCACCTCGATATATTCACACACAATAATTAAGTCATTTGTTCTTCATGATCTCACATCCGAGTACAATCTAAAATCATAGAAAATACTGGCATGGCAGCGGCGCATCGGCTTCGGTGCAGGGCTTCGTGAAGAAGACGTTAGATTTGGGTGAGAGCCGTGAGCCGTTGGATAAGGAGATCAACATTCCAAAAATCAAGTGTTTTTGTTTTTGACCCGAAGCAGCGCTGCAAAAAGCTTGGGGGCTCGATCAGTTGACGTGCACAAGTTCAGTTGCAACACCAATGGCACATTGCACAGGTTCACCGGAATGCGCAACACACTACGTTCGGTTGCGACACCAACTGAGACGGTCAAGTCGCCTGGCTGGGCGTGCTTGAGCTCTTTGCGCCGACCATGGCTGGCTCTTTATCTATCTTCGAGTCTACGAGCACTATAATATTGGCCTTTATATTACACACATCGATGCCTCGCTTGAGGAGAGCTAGCATTTCAGCCCAAAAATCCGTGTGTGCACGTGCCGCTGGATTTTTGCGGCCCATGGACTCACAGTTGGTCACGAAATTCCAATTCTTCCCGACAAAGCCCAGGTGAAACTAGGCCAGGAGAAGTTTATCCGGCCCGGCCCATTATTGCATACGGTCCGGTCCAATTCCAATCGAGTGGCGCGTAGAGCGAGGAATGATAAGACCGTTGTCGTGATTCGTGAAGGGTGGCGACTGGCGACAAGACATGCTGCTGGGCACAACTGCTCCGGCGCCGCCGCCAGGTCCTCCGCCGCCGGCTCCAGCAGTGGCACCAATCCGGACGCGGCTCTTCTCCTCCGTCGCGAAGGTAGCGCTTACGGCCGCGCTCGTCTGCGGCGCTGGCGGCCCCGCTGCCGTCGTCATCGTTCCGGCCGCCGCTCAGGCCGTCCCGTTCGTCCGTCCCCCTCACCTGCAGGGAAAGCCCTTTGCCTCCTCCACTCCTTAAGCGCAGTCTCAGAAGCTGCAGCTTGGCCTCGATAAGCTCGGGTTCGTTCATATATTGCTTGCCACTTATTCTTGACATTTACTAATTACCACTGCAAATGGAAATGTTCTGCTTCAAAAACGGGTTAAACACACCCGATCGAGAAAAAGAAATGTCCTGCTACTGATCATGTAGTTGAGCTTGCTGTGTATGGTGATGATGGTGCAGAAAGATCAGGGCATGCCCGTCCACCAACCCGGGGTGCGTGTCCACCAACCCGCTGGGATCCTCCGGCTCCTTCGCATCGCCACTGCTCATCCCGGAATCATCCGCCGGGGAGAAGGCCGTCGTCGTAAGCCACCTCACTAGACACTAACAACTGCCGATCTCTGAACGCGCTTCTTCTCCTTTCCTGCTGATAAAAATGCAATGCAAACAGTACTATAGATGCAATTTCTAGCTCTTCTGATTTCCAAACAAATTAAACGTAACGTCGATCGTGTAATGCTTGCTTTTGCATTTCTTAATTAATCGATCTCTTACTACTTTGTGGCACTATGTCGTACCTGCAAGTCGTTGCGGCAAGCCATCGAGAAGACGTAGAGTAACGTGGACTTCAAGGTCGACGAAGACATGCACTCCATATGGTCAGTACAGGTGATCCAGAAGTTGGAATAGCATCATGAGTATGATAGTATCCAACGTGTACACTATGCGTGCGTTCAGGTCACTACTACATCGAGGCAGAGATGGACGGCGGCGTTGGCCGGGACGTGATGGAGTTCCTGGTGAAGAAAGACGCCGGCGTGATGGCGTACCGGTGCATGGCCACCAAGGTCACCTTCGTCTACCCCTTCACCACCGCCGTCGGCGGCTCCAAGGGACAGAAGCAGAGGATTGCGGCCATCTCGCAGAAGCTCGGATGGTACGCCCCGGACATCCAGTCCTCCATGGACTCCGCCGGCGACGTCAACTACGTTCCGTGAAGACCCTAGAACGAATCATTGATCACTTCATCCATCAGGAGCAGAGAGGTAGCTGGTTGATTTTCATGCCTAGAGTCATCATGTAAGCTAGTATGCAAGCATCCGTACCGAGTCAAATAGTGCAGATATAACATAACTAAGATATATATTGTACAATTGTAGAATATATTTCAATTCCACGCTTAATTAAATCGATCTACAACGTATATATATACTTACGAAACATATAAGTGTTAAAAAAACCTAGTAAATGATGATTCGGTATTTCGGTCCATTGTCACCTCTCATGTATCTTTCATTAACAATAGCATGTGAACCTAAAACTATACATGCAAGTTGGGCATTAGTTGTATAATTGCCGTTGGAGTATGAGAAAAAAAGGACTTATGCGTATTCGTCTTGTGCATTGTGTAGTTCTACAACTTAACTAAAATGCAAGAAACACACATACTGGAAAAAACTTCCAATGCTTAGAAGTTGTATCTTTAAAGCTTTGAAGTGTTTTTTTTACTGCTAGGCATGCCGGCTCATTGCCGCTCATAGCAAGTCAGTCTAAGCACCACCTTTGTGTCATGTCGACATCATGCGTCTGCCTTCATGCCGTGTCGGTCTAAGCACGACTATCAAAATTATATTTGTTTGCAAAAAATGAGTAAATTTTATCGGCGGTCATTGAACTTGTCATGAGTTTTCATTCTAGTCTCAATACTTGCAAATTGCACACTCGGCACTTTACACTTACATGCTGGGATCCATAAACTTATTTTTAGTTCTCATTAATGTCCTACTACATGCAAATCACACACTCAGCTCTCTAAATTTGTAAATTGTCGTACCCGCACTGTCCAGATCCTACTAAACCCCGTTGTTGTGGCCCTCCTCACCCTTTCTCAACTCGCTCATGCTCTATTTCACCGCAACACTGTCCCACGCCCCATGGTTGTCACGCTCGACACTAATACCTGTGCTCTCCCCCATAGTGTGGCTCTTATGCTCACCATCTCCTTCAGCACGCTCTGCACCCTCCTAACTTTCCTCCTTTCTGCTGTGATGAGCTCATCTTGCATGGACATGCTTGCCGACACTAACGTGGGTGGCGCGAGGCACCTCGGCAAGGGCACAACATGGCAGCGCACAGGTGCAAGTGTGTCACTACGGAATGGGAGGGCGAGTGCAACGCACGACGTGTGCAGGCGCAACAAAGTCCTAGTGTGGCAGCGTGGGTGCGGCATCGTGCCAACACCAACGACATAGTGCATGGCACAGGGGGTGCGAAGCGAGGGTGGTGCAGCGCGGAGTATGCAGGGTCAGGCAGCACGATGCGGGGGAGGGGTTAGACTAGGATGAGCAGTAATATAAGTTTTATGGAGCCAAGTGTGTAATTTACATGTGCCCATATCGGGATGATAACTCAAGACAAGTTTAGTAAGCTGAGTGTGCAATTTGCAAGTAACGGTACCAGAATAAGAACTTAAGACAGGTTCGAGAAACACCTGTAAAATTTACTCTAAAAATATATTTTGTATGTACCATTTTTGTGAAAAAATTCAAGGATTTTTATATTACATTATCCAAGAATTATAGGAGATGTAGCTAGAATAATAACACAACGAAGAGCGTACTCTGCAGCATGTCAACGCGCAAATGGTGCATCGATCGTATGTAGACAGTGCATAGGAGCGCTGGGAGAGCACGGATCCTGAATTCCTCTGGTTTTAGGAGGATAAATTATCGGATGTTCTATTTTAATCATCGAATAATCCGCATAGAATTTATAGATAAACCATATTCCTTGATTTTGCTGATTCTATATCCTACTCCGCATTTAGACACACTCGGATTTGGATTATTCGTATCTGCATGGATACTCAAAGTTCTTCCCTGTATCCTAAAAATTCAGATTTGGATCGGAGAATTATCAGCTCCAGTTTCACCCACGTACACATGCTTGTAGCAGTTGTTGGCCCAGAGGCGAAGCTGTGGAAGCTCTAGCGGTGCTAATGCAGCTTGATATGATAGGATCTCCCAAATTATACTTGTCATTCTTATTAAAAACATTATCGTATCATAAAAAATGTCTACGTAGCAAGCTATTATATTCAGATAAAACTTAGACGAAGTTTTTCACTGAGACCGGATTTTGCAATCGTATACTGTTACTCCCTTCATTTCTTTTTATAAAACACACCTTGATACAATACAATCTCCCAAATTAGATTTTAACTATTTATTTAATGTTATATTATCTTACCTATAAATATACGGTGATTAGATACTATATTTAAGTACAAATCTAACTATATTATTTTTGTATTATAATAATAATAAATTGTTAGCTAAATTAGGCCCGTTCACTTCGCTGAAAAAACAAACCGAAATACTCTTCCACCTGATTTGTCGTGAGAGAAAAATACCATTCCAGTTAAAAAACAAACTGAAAAATACGGATTATAACACAAGCGAACCGGGCTTTATCGGTGTATAAGATTTTAAGAATGGACAACCCAGGACGGAGAGTTGAGTTGGTACCATTAATGAAGATTCTACAAAATCCAGGGTCGTAATGGGTAGATAGTAAATAGTAATTGTGGTCCAGCTGGCTCCCACGTCATGACACCAGCCAGATCAGCCAGCAACGGTCACTTCTACGGTGCGCCGGCGGCACAATCACCGCAACCGCTCGCTCCTCCCCACGGCTATTTCACCATTTCCCCAGCACATCGGGGGCGTCCCGCGTCCCCCCGCCTGTCGCTTCTGACCGCAAAAAAGAAAGAAAGAAAGAGCGCGCCACCTAACAAGGAAGAGGAAAGGGCGAGGAGGAAGACGCGGAGGAGAGAGAAACCCTAATCGAAATGGGCAAGCTTCTCTGCGACCCTTCCGCCGCCGCCGTCGCCGAGGCCCTGCCTCCTCCGTCCCCAGCCCCCGCTCCGCCGCCGCCGCTCCTCGCCTGGTCCACCCCGCCCCCGGCCGCCTCCCCCGAGCCCTCCACCTCGCCCACGGGCTGGGACGCGGTCTGGGCGCTCGAGGACCAGCAGCGCCGCCGCCTCCACCGGATCTGGGAGCGCGGCGTCGCGTGGAAGCCCTCCTCGCCGGGCGCCGGCGAGGCTCTGGCTGCGCCGGCGCCCGTGGTCGTCTTCCGCCTCGACCACGGCGGGGAGGTCGACGCCGATGGCAACTGCCTCTTCACCGCCGCGCGGACGGCCGCCGCGGCCAAGGCGGACGCGCGCGAGCTCAGGCACCGCGCCGTGCGCCGATTCGCCGAGGTCTACGCCGCCGCGGGGGAGGACGACGAGGCCGCCGTCGACGCCGCCGTGAGGCACCTCTACGCGCCGGATCTCAAGGCCGGGTGGGGCGTACACGTCGTGCAGGAGATCAAGGTGCTCGTGCCCAAGGCCCAGCGTGACTCGCTCGACGCCGCCATCCAGGAGCTCGTTGATCTCGGCATCCAAAGGTACCACGACTCGCGGATCTGCCCTTGCTCGCTGCTCTTGCTCAAATCTTTTTTATTTGATTTTCTCGCCACGTTAGGATCTAAAGGCCTTGTCTTTTTCGTATGCCTTGCTGATGATTTCGCCATTCTTGCTCTTGGTCTAACCAGACGCGCGTACAATGTCGTTTTCTTGCCACCTTGAAAGAAAATGTCCTGTGTTTCCCCGCCCAAATAGTGTTCTTGGCTTCTTGAGATTATTAAAGTTTTATTTGTTTTAGCTAATTTACATATAGCAGTTCGTGTCGCTTTAGCTCTTCCTGAATTTCATAACACTCACAAGCACGGATTGATGCAATCTTGTGGGCTTTGGCATCATGGAGATGCAGGACATCGCCTCACAAGGTGTCTGCGTTGTATCCTTGAAATAAAAAGGACAACGAAGGATGGAATCGTCTTTTTAAGTATTGCGACGCAAGTGTTGATGTAATGGGAGCCAACGCTTGTCCACCCTGTTATTTCCAATACATCATTTAGTACTCCCATGTTGACCCGGGTACAGCTGTACTCCTGCATCTTAATTAATCGAAGAATCTGAAGTTGTTTAGTTCTAATCAGCTTAGGTTTCCTGTACCTGTTCAGTCGTGACACCCACAGAGGCCCTCTTGTGCCTCCAAAATCCAGTTATGTGCTCATATATCATGTCTTCCTTTCAGGGAAATAGCAGCTGAAACTATCTACAAGGAAAGATGTATCACTGTGGACAATGGGGATAGTTGGACCAAGTACATGTCCATTTCTGGTTCTGCAGAGGATGAGCATGATATTATCACCCTGCAGTACACAGAGGAGGGGTTACTGACAATAGATGAGAACCGAGATGGCCGTGCAGCTGCATTTGGTGATGATATTGCCATTGAATGCCTAGCAACTGAGTTCAAGAGAGAAGTTTACGTGGTAATTTTTTTTAACACATGAATATGATATGTTGCCCAATTATCACCATAGAAGTGGCCATTCTGAAATAGCCTTCGTAATATGATTTTGCGCCATTTTCTTTGTGCCTTGATAGGTGCAAGCTCATGGAGCGGATGCAATGGTTGACGAGGATAACTGTGTGTTCTTCCTCCCACATCGTCCTAGAGGAGAAATTTGTGAACCACCAATTTTTCTTTTCATGAAAGGAACAGGTGTGTTGCAGATGCAAACATGGCTGCGCCTTCATCAGCAAATCAATATAATCTGCAGAATGCGCATCAATCTCTATTCCTGTGTTTCTATTTAGTGACACATCCATGCTTAAGTAGACTGTACAATTTTTACTTGCAGCATGGTGTGGTGCTGGTGCCGACCATTATGAGCCTTTGATCGCCACTGTCCTCCAGCATGTTACTCCAGACAAGGCAGCTGTTGTCCTTTGAGAATGACTCCAGTTTTTTTCACCCCCCTTAGTTTTTAGTCAGCGGCGGAGTTGAGACAATTTTGTTATTGGAGCTAGAGTGCTGAATTGAGGAGCAACATCAATGCCCAAGAGATTAGGGAGACGGCCAATCTGAGTATCTGACTTTGTTGCAGGGTCTTGCCTGCTTATGAAGCTGTGTACCGTAATTCGCTGTGTATGGCGATTTTGTTGTTGTATGTTTATGAGTAGGTTCTGACTAGCAAGGATATTCTGAGTGGTAGAACACCGAATCTAGATTTTTTGGGGGTCTGATGTTGTTTGCCATTGTCGGCCAGCATTTTTGTATTGCCTATTGTGAGGATTTTTTTTTTGGTTGCCTGTTTCTAGAGACATCATGATTAGACATTTGGAATGCAATCAATTCCTTTTTGGTGTTGGGTTAACTCTTATCTCCCAATATCTGTTATTGGTCAACGTAAATTACTGAAAACTTGTTGCTGCAAATTTCATATTGAATAGTTAAGGGTGCCCTTGGTTCGACAAAACATTATATAAATCTACAGCTGTAAAATGTGGATGTATGTAAATCAGATCTCCATATGTAATCATATCCTGTGTGCCCTGCAGGTTTAGATAGAAATCGAGTGATTACTTGATGAGTCTGTAAATTACAAAAGTGATGGCTGGTGCCTGTGCGGCTGTGCCTGGGGTTTCATCTTGTCAATTCTGCTAATATTTTTGCTTTTGTTGGTCATTGTTCTCATTTTTTTTTTTCAGAGCTGTACTTTTGAATTTGTCATCACTCAGCATTTGCCATCTGCAATTCAACCAAATTACAACGCATTTTAAGCCAACATGTGGTAATCCTTAATTCCTAATTATTGGTTTTCAAAATGTTACTTCTGACTGTAGTTAAAAATGATGCCCATCCAGCAATAATCAGGACAGCCATTACTAACATGTTTTTCGGAAAAATCAACTACACAGATCGAGTCCACTCGTTTATTTGCTGAAAGGAGTTCTAGAGTTAAGGTGAAAACTGAGATGGTACTCAACACTTTATATTTCACCCAGAAAAAAAAAACAGAAATCCTGTAATCATTTTTTTCTGCATAAAAATTTCACAATGTTGTTTGAGCAAAGAGTACAGGCAGTTTCCAATAGCAACATAAGAATTTCAACAAATGAGGTTCTCCACACTCCACAGTACAAGTTTTAGTTCCAATGAAATGCTAGGTAAGACGGCTTTTATTTGGTCTTCACCTTTTCAGCTTGAAATGTTGCGCATATTTTCTTCCAGGATCTTATGGCAATGAGCGTTGGTATCCAAATCCAGAAACTGTTTGCACCAATGAAATATGCCCAGAAGTAGAATGGGCCGACCCAGAAGTTGAAGCCATCCAAGTATGCAGCGATGAAGTAAACCAAGCATCCGTAGAGCTGACCCAGACAGACGGCGAACTGGAGAATATGGCTGAAGGACTTCCGGGATGCAATGGCGTAGCTGCAAGCACAAAAAAAAATTGGTGAGACTAGAGAGAATACAAATAGGCAGCGGCTGCAAATGGGGCGAGTCAAAAACCAAGTTACTTTGTGTGTATACATACATAGGCGGCTGGAACTATCAAGCCTGACTACTCGTGACTAATAGACGATTAAATGATTGACTGGCCAACTAACCAAACTAATAGAGTCGATGCACCTCGTCAATGTGCAATGACCGATTTCTCGACTAATCATGATCCATCGGACGATTTGAAAACATTGAATAAAAAATCACATAACAAGAACAGTTCTGCACTAAATCTCCTACTACAGGTAACATGTTCGCAGTTTGTCCCTGGATACGGTTTTTACTAGACAAGTAGAAAAGGACCTTTCCAATTGTATATATATGTTCCAACTAAAAAAGGTGTCAAGATGAGTTTTTTCTTTTCTTTTTTTCAGATTTGTCAAGAAGTTCACTAGAAACAATATATGGTATTTAAGACATTGCTATTTTGTCATGTTCGTTATGCTTTGGTTGGATCAATTTGATCTAAGAAAAGCTGAAAATACATGACAACTGAAGCCTTTGCTGATGCATCTAATTCCCAAACAAGTAGTGTAAATCTCCAGCCTAACTAGTGTCTCTAGGAAGTGGGAAGAACAATGAGATGATCAGTAATATCATATGGTAATTACTATTTCTAAAATCAATAACGATATCAAACCAAGTTTATGAATATGTAAAGTTACATGCAGAATTTGTGAAAGCAAACATCGCAGTATGCACGAAGGGCGGGCCTGGTGCAAGCGGTAGAGTCTTACCGCCTGTGACCGGAAAGGTCCCGGGTTCGAGTCGCGGTCTCCTCGCATTGCACATGCGAGGGTAAGGCTTGCCACTAACACCCTTTCTCAGACCCCGCACAGAGCGGGAGCTCTCTGCACTGGATACGCCCTTTTTTAAACATTGCAGTATGCACAATACCTTTTCAGTTAAAATAGGTTAGTTATGTGGTCATGATATTCCACTCTAGATTCAATCAAATCTATATCACACATTTCACAGGGCAACAAAAATACCCATCGGGAAAGCCCATGAACATGAGACTCCGATTGTTCATGATGTCCTTGATTCCTAAGTATTAAATTTTCTTTCATGCCTCTAGAAAGGAGGGCGATGCTCTAGCATGAAGAGCAAGCCCTAAACAACCATAACAGAAGCCTTTTAGTCCCAAGCAAGTTGGAATAGGCTGCAAGGAAAGAAAAGGTAAATAGTCAGATATCTTAGTGCCTCATTTCCAACAGGAAAATAAGGCATCCCAGCATAACCTGAAATCTTAACCCCATCACAGAGCCAGGTTTGACTGAACTTGGTAAGCAGCAGGTGACTAGAGAGGACATATGTTGGACAAGAAACAAAGTAGGTTGGCCATTGAGAAGTAAGTCGAGCAGGAGATGAGAAGACATACACAGCAAGCAGTGATGCAGGGCCTTCCAATACAGCGGTGATCCCTTCAACCGTAACAGTTGCGGCGTCCCTAGCAACATACCTAGAGTCCCCCTTACTATACTCTTTCCCTGAACAAGGCAGAAATCAGCCACTGTCATTTCAGCTCATCCACAATATACTCTGAGTGGATAAATATCTTTCCTGGAGATGCTGGCAAGAACTTACAAACTTCATCGAAGAAATTGGGGTTCTCCTTCTTGAAGAAATCAGGAGTGAAGACGAAGGGCCCCTCGATCATTATGTGGGTCAACCCTGTGAATGCCCACTGGCACATGAGCAGACGGTCGGTCTTGGACAATCTTCCACATCTTCCTGCACGCAATGACACAACATGACCTCGATATCATACAAGATTGTTAGAGATCTACTGCTCTTAAGTCACGCACATGTCACTTTCTATAGTCCTTGATTTGTTGCTGTTCAACTTTATTAGATGAGAAGTTCAGAACGATGACTAAATTCTAAGTCATCTTGATGAAGGCACACCCAGATTGTTAAAGAGCAGAGTCGAATCATGTTATGATACAGACAAGGTAATCAATTTAAAATTAAAAATTGCGCCCAGTCCCTCCAATCTTGGGTCTTGCTGTACATCTCTAAACTTCCCCCCACTCTCACTGCCTGTAAAATCAACGAGAGCACTAGGCAAGATTCCAAGTTTGGATACCGGAATTTGAATTTCAGTTCGAAGAGGGAGGACGGAAATCCTAGGAGAGGTAACAGAGGACCCAAGTAGGAGACTGATACATATACATGAGCATATAAGCCAGGCTTGAAAAGTAGCGTTGGCTGATTTGTCGGGAGAGAAAAACATTATTCATTCGCTGAAAAAATACGGCTCATGACACAAGCGACTAGTCGTACCGGAGAGGAGCAGACGGCGAGGACGAAGAGGGAGGCGCCGAGGTAGGACACGAGAATCTCGGCCTGGGACAGCTTCAGCGGCACGAAGCCCGGCAGCTCTAGCTCGGCCGGCGCGTAAGGGTGCCCCATTGACGCCGCTGCGGCCGTCGCTTGCTCGGCCTTACGTCGGCTGCCGATCTGGGTAGTGAGGTGCGACGGCCGAGGGCCCAGGGGAGGGAGGGGCTCAGGGCCATGTATACTATAGACTCCAGCCCTATAGTCTGATGACATTTGATAGGCAGCCCGAGACGTTCAGGATCAGGAGCGCCGAGCTCTTGCTTCCCCAGTTCGTGAGTCTACTACGTACGCGAGCGCCCAAGGCGAAGGGTCACGGTCTCAGGGAGTCACAGAGAGTCGGAGATGGAGCCGCGTTGCGCCGCCGCGGAGAGCCGAAAACATGGAAACAACGCACTCACAGGCTCGACTCGACGACGACGTGATCAGGCGGATCAGCCGATCATCGGTTTATCAATCATCACTTCATCAGTTCATCAGCCGATCAGGCCCTAGCATCTAGGTATTTTTTTTCATGATCGTTTTTTAATCCAAATTAATTATTTTAGACTTCTAGTAGTACTCGTAATCGGTCATGTTTTTCTTTTAATTTAGGTGTTAGAATCTTAGAATAGTAGCTAAGAAACATTTGTCGGGATCTCAGAAAAGAAAACAGAAAAAACTAGTAAATAAATTTATTGAATCTTAGAAAGGTGCTATACATAAGTGGACACTATTGATCTCAATATCGTCCTTGACGATTCTACGTCAAGAAGTGCCCAAAGAAGTTTCTTTTTATGAGAAGCAATGAATATTATGGAGTTCTATTCTTTCTTGTGGTACTCATATTAGTTTTAGAAGTACAAATATATTATTGTTTTAGTTTACCTTTTTTTTTGTCACCAAATGAGTTTTTGCCACCTGAATTTTATTTGGCCCTTGTGGCCCGCGATAATGTTTACAAGATGTTTACATTTTGAGAGAAATAAAGTTTACAAGCCACTTCTGGACCATTTTAGTTTACATTGTTTCTTGATAACTATTAAACATGTTAAATTAAAAATATATCACTGAATTTGTTTTTACTTTGCAACAAAAATTAATATGATTTTATACGTGGTTCAAAGAGCCTTCGTCCGAGTTCGCCAGAACACCCTCAAAATTCTTTGGAGCGGCACTGGTGAGTCACGGAGTCGTCGTCGCAACAGCAGCAACAGGCCAGCAGCGACAACTAGGCTTTTACGGGAAGTACAGTAACACGGAGGGCTGCTTGAGTGCTTGACATGTGGGGACAGGCTGTGTGATATACAAAGTAGGAGTTAAGGATACGGCTGCTTGAATTGCTTGCTTGCCATTTTCTTGGTCGCGAACTCGTGATTGATGGATTTAGGCGCTCTTTGATGTATTAGGTGCTAATAGTTATATAGCTCCTTCATTCTAGATTATAAGACAATTTGGCTTTTTTAGATTTATAATTTTTACTATGTATTTGAATATACACTATATCTAGATATATAGCGAAATAAATATATATAAAAAAACTAAAATATCTTATAATTTAGAACGGATCGAATAGCTAATAACTCATACTCTCCATGTTCCAAATTATAAGGTATTTTGGCTTTTCATATATATATATATATATATACCATGTCTCTAGACATGTGTACAACTAACAGCATGTTCGTTTCGGTTGGATTGGCTTATAAGCCATGGCTAAAAGTACTACTGGCTGGTTTGGTGTGAGAGAAAAATACTATTCATTGACTGATAAGCCAAAGCTTATAAACTAGATACGAGCCGCTCAACAGGCTGTAAGTGGATGGCAAAAGTTAAAGAGCTAAATTTATTATAGTTTAGAATGGACAGAGTAGCCAATATTAGCTCACTATTAGCTCTAGTTAGCTAGTCTGAATTAACTAGTGAGATAATTATTAGTTGGTATTAACTAACAATTAGTTAGGCTATTAGTTGTTTTTTAATTAACAGAGCTAATTATTAGTAGTTAAATATTAGCTCCATGGATCCAACAGAACCTAGACTATCTCTGTTGAATATCATATCCAATCTCCTAAACTAAAAAGTACTCAATCCATCTCAAATTGTAAGATGTTTGACTTTTTTGATATCAAGTTTGACCACTCGTCTTATTCAAAAATTTGTATAAAATATCACTTCTTTCGTCGTGGTTTGGTTTATTAATAAAAATTCTTCAAGAATAACTTAAATTTGACTATATTTGCATAAATTTTTTGAATAAAACGAGTGGTCAAACTTGGAGCCAAAAAAGTCAAACGTCTTACAATTTAGGATGGAGGGAGTACTAGAAAATGCAACAAATCTCTTTTCTTATCTCCTGTACCAATAATTTTTAAGAGATGTTCCAAAATAGTAATTATTTCTCCTAAATGAAGGAGATAACCATTGTCCTCTGTTCCTAGGTAAGCTGCTACATCAGTGTTGTATTATAATGTAAACTGATTTTAAGGTACTCTTTTAAAGCAATATTACAATATATTGTATATAGAACTTAAGAAATTTAATTTCTTAGACTTAGGAAGATCTTGATTGAAAGCAACTCTAAGAGGCTCTTTATATCATTTCTTATTGATAGAAATAGTAGAGATTTTGATAAAAAAAAACTCTCTAACAATTTATTTAATTAAATCTTCAAATATTATCGTCATTTATTCTGGATTTTTCTAGCCAAATATGGAGAGTGAGATTAACTCTACGTAGGATATGGAAAAATTATTGGAAGCTCTGCAGAGCCTCTGCGGTCCAGGGAGATCGAGACGAGGAGCTGCCGTTTTCATTGTTTTGTTTTCTTTTTTATGTTGGCATGAGTTAATTTTTTATTGTCTGGATCTTAGCTGTTGCTGGTACAATGTGATGTGATAGTTCATAATGACCTTTTATTATGGGAATTTTTTTAAACTGGAAACGTGTAGTTATTACGACAGAGAGAGTAGAGGGAATTCTATTCAAATGACTATCAAATGATACTTTAGAAAGTGAGTTTAAAGATAAACTTTTCGAGATGCTTTAGGATCTTGTTTGGAGGCCTGGAGCAAAGTCTTCTTCTAAAATTAATGTGTATTTTTTCTATGAAATTGAATTAGTATACACGTGAAATGAAACCTAATAACTTTTGTGGACGAATGTAAATTGGATTGGTACACAGTGGAATGAACGTCCTGTTCTTTGGTACTACTTCAGCAGTACTTTTCAACAAACAAACAATATTTTTCTCTTATAACAAATCAACGTAAGCATCCGCGTAAACCAAATTTTAGCGAAACCAACAGGGGTGAAGCCTAAAACTTGTGGATGAATCTAAGTCGTACTATGCCTGGTAGAGATCATACCTAGGGGCATGTTTAGTTGCAACCCTGGATCATTTGCCTGGGATAAGATGCTGCCTGCATGTTGCCTGTGAATGCTTTTGGTTTTGCCTGGTCAGGCAGCTAGAAGGATGGTTGTTTGGTTCAAACGTGTTGCCTGGAGAGTAGGACTGTGGGCCCCCTAGCTCATTAATAGAGAGTAGTCATTAATTGAAGCCCAGACAAACGCAAGGAACACCAGGCGATCCATTTTGGTTGCCTGGCAGGAGGAGTTGCCTGGTGGAGGCTGCTGTGTAGGACACCAACCAAACAACTTCCAGACAGGGTATAGGCAACAACCGGTCCGGACAAAAATTGATCAGGGTTGCAACCAAACCAATTTTTTTATAATTTGGCCCTTTTTTAAAAGTTTCTCACAAATAGAACCCTGGCGGAAAGAATTCAGGAAATGGACCATTAGCTCGGCGCTATTCATGTTGACGCCGAGCTCGGCGCCATCGCTCTGGCGCCGAGCTCGACGCTTGATCGCTCTGGCGCCGAGCTCGGCCATTGCCGCCTCTGGCGCGCGAGCTCGACGCCACCATCCTCTGCGCCGAACTCCAGGTAGTGCAGGGTTGACTGCCAGGGGGCTCAACGCCAGAGTGACTGACGCCGAGCCCGGAAATATCTAACCCGCCTTTTTTCTCTCTTCTCCTCTCTCTCGCCCTAGCCCGAAAACCTTTGCCGCCGCCGCCTGCCCGCTTCCACCACCTTGGCAGCGCCGAGAAAGGCCACATCATCTCCCGTCCATGTCGCGCCCACCGCTCCACCAGCGCCCATACGCCCAGCATCCACGCCGAGCCCACGCCACAGCGTACACCACTGCATTGCTTGCCTTCTCTCAAGATCAAGCCCGCCCCGCCGCTGCTGTGGCCGTGGCCCCCACTGGCCAGCGCTCCCCGCTCCAGCGCCGCCCCTCGGCGTCTTTGTAGGCCAAGACGGCCCCCATCACGCCATTGTTTGCCCATGGTTGGCCTTGGCCACGGCCGGACTTGCCGCCCTCCACCGCCGTCCTCACCTTGCCCTCCACCG